TGGTATTAAACGCAATGAGCAAGTGGCAAGAAGAGGAAAAAACTTTAAAATGTGGGTATTGAATTCACGAGCAATGTGCATAATCTTCATATACAAAAGCGCACATGTATGTATATATAGAGCTAAGATATAGGCAATTATTCGATTTTTAACAGACATTTTTTTTCACTAAAATAATTCCTCAAAAATTCACATAAAAATTTACACACAACTTTCTTCCAGCCAAATTAAACTCGTATTGCAAGTGTAAAGTATAATTAATATTATATAAAAAGTACAGATCCGAAAATGAGCCCAATAATTTAATGTGGCGATCATTTTGATTCGATAATTGATATTTTACACTTCGATAACGCGTAAAATAATTTACGAGATATTTATAATTATATTTGTAATTAATTTCCTCAGTAAATGATTTCTGAAGTGCTTTGAGTTACAAACAAAAAGTAAATAGAAAATGGCTTGCAGTTAAGGGAATAATACGACGTAGTTATTATGCGATGTTATACCTATTCGTATTTCTTACGAACAAAGAAATCTGTTCAAGAAATGTGCAAACTTTAATCCGGATTCTTACATTAGTAAACTTACTATAATTGTGGACTAATCTTCTTCGAAATAATCCCTTCGCGACTCGACATGCACTTGTTTCAATGTTTTCTTCATTACTCAAAGCACTTCAGAAATCATTTACTGAGGAAATTAATTACAAATATAATTATAAATATCTCGTAAATTATTTTACGCGTTATTGAAGTGTAAAACATCAATTATCGAATCAAAATGATTGCCACATTAAATTATTGTACTCATTTTCGGACCTGTACTTTTTATATAATATTAATTTTCTATTTACTTCTTGCATTAGCTTCATCTTAAGTTAAATGTTTCTTCTCTACGTATATTACAACTAGCGGCACGACCTAAAGGGATAAAAATCTCATCGAAATTCTGACCTTCGGAAAGTTAAGATCTTGTAAAATTTCGATAAATTTCTGAGCCCAGTCGCTCTGCAAATGATTAATAAAACCGATTCTTGAGCGCCATTAAACCGGTTTCATTTCAAACGCACTCGCGTTACCCCAATGACTCCGCGAGACCCAGTTTCGTGAAGCTCGTGCCGCGCGAGCTCGCGTCACCCACTTCCGCCGGCTGATCAGATATAAAGTCGAGGAAAACCGGCGGTGCCCTTCGTCCGCGCAGGTTGCATCCGCGATGGACGGTATGCGTGTACCTGTTACGCACCATACATGACGTGTGCGTATGTGCGTGCACACCGCGATGAGAGATCGTCGTCGTCTGGAAATTGCGGAGGCAACCCTCGACGTGCGCGCCTAAAAAACTGGGCCAAGTGTATGATAATAAATAATCCGCGCTTACCCGATCCGGTTTAAACGCACGGTATTCTTCGTCTTCGACCCGCAAACGACGCGTATGTCGTTGTATCTATACATCTATAACGTTTTCCAAATTGCGGTAAATCCATCAATCTGCAGCTTTCCTAGCTGGATCTATAATTAAAACTCTAAGTGCTACAAAAATCTTAACAAACTAGATAAATACATATATGATTGAGAGACGTTCATAAGAGTTGATTTGTGAAGACAATCTTGGAATATTATGTAATATTATGTAATATTATGTAAATGCTAAAAAAAATTTATTAAATGTATTTTAATAATTGCTTAACAATTTATAGAAGCTCGCAATGTGCTTATTTGCACATATATAAATCTATGTGCGCGCAATGTGTACGTATGATTCGATATGCGCGCATGATGCACGAATATCTTCAGCTGTCTCCCTATTTAACCGTGTCTCAGGAGAAAGGGAGACCTTCGGTGGAGAGAAAGAAAAAGGGTAACGTTAGTAAGACTCCGTTCTCTGCACGACACTTATTTTTATGCCCACTCATTTGCACCCGCTTATGGCCGGGCACGTGCTACCCGGATCGATAAAGAATAGTCTGCATTGTGTTGTACTCATGCACCCCATAAATACGTTTTGTGCACAAAACGGACAATTCCTCCATTATTATCTCGTGTCTTTAATTAGAAATTTAATTAGAAATAAGTCTATATTTTATCGCAATGTAATTAAAACATTTCTATTGTGCCGAGCTTCAAAATATAGAGAAAGCATTTTTTACGATGTAAATAGAGTTTACATTGTTTAAAGCAAGTATATTGAAAATGATATAAAAATATCATATTGGTATTTTTCAACTTTATATAACAATAATAAAATTATTTTTGTTTTTAATTTTTTATGTAAGCTGTTTTTTTGATAATTTCTCTAAAGTTTTCATTAAATTTAAGCGTCTCAATATTTTTTATATAAAAATTACGACGAAAATAATTGAAACAAACAACCTAAAAATAAAGATTTATACAAGAAGATAAAGAATACGAGATCGATTTAAAAGAAGGAACAGGTACAATGTGTGTGACGGGTACGCTCCCTGATGATCGCGTGGCGGCCTTCTTTCACTTCATACCGTGGATTATAAGCCGCCGGAGGGTACCGCGTTTAGCCACGAAAACTGCAATAATGTAAGCTTAAGAAACTCAAACCCATGTAGCGGTACGACGCATCGCAAATTTAAAATTACGCTGACAACTCACTCCGATAAGCATCATTGGAATGAAGCAATAAATTGGCCATCGGCAAAAAACCGATCGATAAACCGCATAAACTATAAATTAATAATCTTCAGGGAAAAACGACGGTGGTAAAGTATAATTTTATTCCTGAAAAATATGTCCTGGGTAAATATTGCCGAAGACACGACTGCCACATCGTCTGTTTGTGATACTGAATACTGATTTGCATCGCAGAATGCAGATAAAGTTTAGAGCGTTCATAAAAAAAAAAACATTAAAAAATTACCTTAATTAAAAAAATTATAAAAATATATATATATATATATATTTTAAATATTATATATATACATATATATATTTATATATATTTATATAAAACACTATAAAATTATAACAAAAGAACAAATTTAAAAGTAATAAATAAATACCAAAAATAAAAAAGAGAGCAGAATAAAATTTTTACAAAAACGTTGATTCCTGTGATTTGTAATAAAACAACTGTTCCTGCGTTTGTATCAAAATATACATCATATGCGAGGACATTCTCCAAGATTTATCACGTTAATAGAAACAAAGCTGCTTATTATATTAATTATTATGTCTTTATGTACATATGTTTCTTTGTATAATTCTTTTTGATTAGGACAAAGTTTCTCGAGATATTTACGATCATGCTCGTGTTGGAAGAAGGGCAGTTGGATAATAGATAATGCGTTACACCTAATGATTCTTCGGCGTACTGTAAGTGATTTTTGCATAACGTTTTATTCGCATTTCTGGAGGACGGTAGGTATACGCTATCTATGTATAATAGGGATGCGCTGTATCTTTAATCAAATAAGAGACAAAGAAGAGAGAAACAGCAAAGCCTGATGACTCGGGCTTTTCCAGGCTAAAAGAACGTCGAACAGCTGGCGCAAGGTGCCCCCTTTCTGCGTTCCTGCCGAAAGTCCGCTCAAGTCCGCTTGCTGGACGCAACCTTGCGGTATTTCCTTCACAGGCACGTGCCAATTGAACCCCTCTGAATTCACCGAGCGTAAAAACTTCGAAATTCGTCACCTAAATAGTTGACGAGTAAGGCCGCGTTCGGAAACGTCACACGAGTGCACACGAGTTTACTCCCTTCTCTTAATTTCTATCTCAGCGAGTTAGAAGGAGAAGGGAGTATACCCGTGTGTACCCGGGTGACGTTTCCGAACGCAGCCTAAG